AGGTGTATTTATATAATATAATCAAACCCAGTTTTATCAAAAACAAAAAAAAATATTGACAAGAAATGGCAAGAAATTTAACTCAGAATTATTATTTTAACAAAACATACAATCCAGAAAAATATTTTCTTAACATAGATTTTAAATCTTGGCTCAAAAATGAATTTTAATACGACTTTTTCTTTTATATGATGCATTTTCTTCCCGTAGATTCCAAACATAGTCACCCATCATTGTCGTCACTTTTCCATTGTCCGAATATCTTGATGGAATCTTTCTTCATGTTCTTCGCTGACATCTCCCAGATTTTCACGGAAAAAGTCAAGATGCGAATGCAAATAGTGTAGGTACTTTCAACGACATGCGGCATCCCATTTCTTTTAAACTTCCTAATAAAACTTTGACAAGGTCAGTATAATTTTCTCTTTTGTGGTTACCAAGTAAACCTTTCATTTAAAATCTCACGTTAACTTTTGAGTTTAAAAAATATGTATTATAATCAAATTTTTGTAAAAAAAAAAAATATTCATTTTTTTTACATGTTGTCACACAAAGAAAATTTAATGGCCAAAATCTTACGTGAGGGATAGTGGGGGGGTCTACCACATCTCACCAAATCTCACCAAGGGGTAGGGAGGGGTCTAAATTATCAGAAAAATGCCTCACGTAATTAATGGATGTCCACTAATGACACTCAAAGCCATCAACACGATCTGACGGCTGTCGTTGAAAATTTGACAGTTTGAAAAAACAAATGTATGTTACGTAATCGGGGGCATGGCCTACTACGATTTGTGTAATAAAATCCAGATAAACAAATATCATGTTACATAGTGTAATTTGTATAACTTGATGTTCGCAAATAAAGTTGGCAAATTCTAAAAATATTTAAGGGACCTGATAAATTTTTGGTCTCATGATTTTTTATTTTAAGTTTAAAATTTTTTAAAAATTTTTTCTACATAAACAACCCTTATTAGCGTTTAACGTATAGAAGGATACTTGGTGCACTCTATATAGTATTTCAATTTATGAAGTAGTTGTTATAATATTTTTTCTACTCCCACCTTTAAAACGCCCATTATCGTACATGTTTCCATGACACTAAGTGACCTTTTAAATACACATTGACAAGTTGTGGCTTTACGGCATTTTAGTCACGGGCTGAAGTTAGCAACATGTTTTTAGTCACGGGCTGAAGTTAGTTTTAAGTTAGTTGACAGTTGTCAAATGCCATAAATCGTTAAAATAAAGTGCCTTTCTTGTTAAATAATACTAAATGTGAAAATTATTTTATTATCTCAATACAAAAATACAAAAGTATTAAATAGTTTCTCAACGCCAATATTTGAAAAGTTTATATGAACATTGTACTGACCTTTTAATTTCGCCGGTAGTAAACTATAACTTAAATTCTGGAAAGTGTTCATAAAACATTTTCTTTACTTTCACTTTGAAAAACTGTCCATTTTCAAGGAATGCATTTCGATTTATAACCTTTATAAAATATAAACATTTGACATTTGACGGTGACAGGCAGATTCCCCTATTGTTTCATAGATGGCGCTCTATACAAATATTTGATTTAAGTCATTTTAAGATAATATTAAGTATTTGTCGTAAAAAAAGTATAGTATGCACCTCGTTTATAACCTTTTCTATACACTCATTAATTTAAGCACTCGCTCGCAAGCTCGCTCGTGCCTAAATTAAATTTGTGTATAAAATGGCGTTTATCAAACTTGATACATAATATACTATTAATGTATTATAACAATAAAACTTATACATATATTATATAGTGTCCCAAAAATAACTCCCTACATAACTAACACGAAAATAGTAGGTACGTGAAAGTTAATATAATACTTCCATTGATATTTTTTTATTGAAAGAGCTAGAAGGTCGGTAAATAAATTTGAAAAAATATATAAATATTTTGAAATAAACTAAAAATCTTTAAAACCAAAAATCGTTATATCTTTGTTATTGCTGGAAATTTTGAAAATAAGTTTTACATGTAAACATACACCAAAATATACATTTTTATCCACCTATATCTTTTGAGTTACCATCAAAAAATTTTTGTTTCTATAATGGCCGCCATAACTTATGCAGTTTGATACATCGTTGGATTCCTTAATTTTTTCATACCATGTAAAATTTCAATAGTGCGGCTATGGAAAAAACAAGCATTATTTCGAAAATCATATTTTTGACCTAAGGTTCATTTTCTCGGAGCGCGTCACATGTATATAAATCAAAAAATCTTTTTAATTTAAACTGATTGATCCGATCATTTAAATTTGACACTCGGCTGATTGCATATCTATGGATATAGGTGTACCTATACACCTTCATAATAAACTAGATAAAAATATCTCTCCTTATAAGGGATGCATTATTAATGTTATGAATGAATCAGTGTACGTATAATTTAAAACAGTATGTGGTAAATGTACCCGACGCACGTTTTATTAATATTGTTTTAAACTATCTACTTAAGCGGTCTTAATTGGATAAAACGCCATATTAAATTAAATTACAGGTTGCTCTCATCGTAAAATTATAAATGTTTTTTTATTAATTTTATACTACTAAAATTTTTTAATATTTTTTTATTATACAGGATGTTTCAAAATGGCAACATGCCATATGGGAGGTCTTTAAGATTAAATTTTTATTTTTGGACTGATATTAATGTATTTTACGTTATCATTAGTTTAATTTTGCTGCAGCAAGTTTTATTATGAAAAATAAAGCAACACTATTAATATTTACCTGTAAAACTAATCACACATTATAATAAATATTTTTATTGTCAGAAAAATATATTCTGAAAATGAGCAATTTTACAAAATGTAAATGATTTTTAAATCTTTGTCTATGGTCATCTAATGAACTAAATTTTATGAGTAGGTATGATTCTAATCTTAATCCATTAACAGCACATTCTATTTTATAAATCCTGAGGAAAACAAAGGAAACCTTATAATGAAATTACACCATAAAACTTAATAAAGTGTACTTGGGATAGCGTAAAAACCTATTAGTCTACCATAGATATCCTTTATCAATAATTATTTATATTTATGTACTAAGATACTGTGTTGTTAAAAAATAAAAAGGATTTTAAATTTAGATTTTAACCTTCCCTTATTTGGTAAAATACGCAGATCATTGGTTTACCCATAAAATAATATTTTATGAAGGAAGTTTTCAGTCTTTTTTATTACAATATAAAGCATAACCTAAGATTTATGTGTTTTAATATAGTTATGTACTCTAACAAACCTACTGTTCGGTAATAGTATATTATGTATCAAGTTTGTTAAACGCCATTTTATACTTTTTCTACGACAAATACTTATTATTATCTTAAAATGAGTTAAATAAAAATTTGTATAGAGCGCCATCTATAAAACAATAGGGGAATCTGTGTGTCACCGTCAAATGTCAATTTTTTATATTTTATAAACACAGATTATAAAGGCTATAAATCGAAATGTATTTCTTGAAAATTGACCGTTTTTCACAGTGAAAGTAAAGAAAATGTTTTAGGTATGAGCACAGTGGAGTTCGTGCCCGAATTTAAGTTATATTTTACTGCCGGCGAAATTAAAAGGTCAGTACAATGTTCATATAAACTTTTCAAATATTGATGTTGAGAAACTATTTAATACTTTTGTATTTTTGTATTGAGATAATAAAATAATTTTCACATTTAGTATTATTTTACAAAAAAGGCACTTTATTTTAACGATTGTATGACATTTGGCAACTGTCAACTAACTTAAAACTAACGTGACTAAAAACCTGTTGCTAACTTCAGCCCGTGACTAAAGGGAGTTTTAAAGGTGGGAGTAGAAAAAAGTTATTAACCCTTTGTTAGGTGCGCGGGCTTCAATTTAAGCCCAAGTCTTTTTAAACAATTATATATTTTTTCAATAATAGTTAAATACACACAATTTTAAGGTAGGTACTACCAAGTGTACCGAGTTTAAAAATGTAAAACTAAGAGACTAACTTTTTGTATACAAAAAGTTAGTCTCTTAGTTTTACATTTTTAAACTATATACTGTATACTTTAATATGTTTTAACTTTTAAAGTCTTTTTAAACAATTATATATTTTTTCAATAATAGTTAAATACACACAATTTTAAGGTAGGTACTACCAAGTGTACCGAGTTTAAAAATGTAAAACTAAGAGACTAACTTTTTGTATACAAAAAGTTAGTCTCTTAGTTTTACATTTTTAAACTATATACTGTATACTTTAATATGTTTTAACTTTTAAATATTTACACTGTTCAACAATTTAAGGGTCATCAAAGATTACCTGGATGCGGTCTGGATGGGTCGATAGTACTATAGAATTAAAGTTTGAGTGACTCATTCACGTAGTCTGTAATACAGACTCTGTATTGACTTTATTAAAGTGGACGCGTAACGCCTACTCTTGTGTATTGAAGCGAAAAGAAGCAAAAGCTGAACCTAATTGGCATTGCCATAACCTCAAAACGACAACTTTTGTTAGAATACTAAGGAGCTCCATGTAAAATACGATGGCGGTTCGTTCAGCGTTGGGTTGTAGAAGTTGTACACTGAAAAAAATGAATACATGTACACGTAATATTACATGAGTATTTACCCTTTAGATACCGAATATTTATAATGAATTGATAAATATACATTATAGCATAAGTAAATGTAAAGTATTCTGTATAAAGAAATGTTTTATTTAATTTGAGTGTGTAACCTTAGGTAATATATGTAAAAATATATATTTTATCACTGTAATCGGACATTTTAAAGTGTAAAAATACATGCGTCTCATACAATTACATTTTATTAATAAAAAAATTCAATTTAGAATCTGCTGTAAACGTCTATTTACATATGCAATGTTTATTTTCATATTTATTAATCCTAAAAATCAGTGACAAATGTGATCATCTTTATAATTCACCAATAGCAATCAAGATAAGCAGGCGTATACCGCAGTGCATGCGCGAAAAGACACGTGCTCCCATCATTCTGGAAAATATTTTGTGCCGACTTGTGGTAATAACCTATAGAACGTTTAAATTTACTTTTAACTATAAGTTGTTAATTTAAATAAGTGACCAAGTTATCGAAATATTTGGTAAGTAGGTATTTATATTTATTTTTCTTGTTTTAAAATGTTTAAGTGCAATTTTTGTAAAGTAAATATTAAGAGTTTAAATAAATATAACCTGCATTTATATTATCATAGAAATAGTCAACTATGTCGCTTTAAATGTCTCTACAAAAATTGCAATCAAATATTTACAAAATACTCTGTTTTTAAAAGTCATATATATAGAAAACATAATTCAATTAATTTAATTCAAAATGATTTGTTATATTGCTGCACAATACCCGGTTGCATATTTAAAGGTTATACAAAAAAAAGTGTATCAGTACACGTTTGCAATCATATAAATTGTGGAAAAGAAGTTGCTTGTCCTTTTTGCTCTGATTCTAATAAATTATATAAAAAATCTGTAAATTTAAGAAACCATATTTTAAGACAACATTCAAATTTAACAATAAAAAATCCATCATTTTCTTTTAATACATCTGAAAATAAAATCGTTAGTGAGGAAAATCAAAATATGGACACATATGAAAAATCAGATATATCCGAAATCCTCGATAATTCTCATGAAAGTCTCACAAATTTAAAAAAATTATGTCTTAAAATATTGTCTAACTTACATTTAAACTTAGAAACCAAATTTCATGTAACCGATAAAGCTCAGCAAATTTTAATTGATGGAATATGTGATGTAAACAAATTAAATATTGAATATCTTCTAACATTTGCAAAAAAATATAATATATCTGAAATAAATGAAGAGTTTCTTTCTGAAAATTTATTTGATAAGTTTTATAATTCAAAGAATGGTCCTTTACGTTCTAATTATTCAAGAAAATCACTATTCAAAAATAATTTAAATTATATCCAGCCAGAGTGTATTTCCTTAGAAACAGGTTCAAAATTTTATTATGTGCCTATTATTCAAACAATTCAAAGTTTATTTAAAAATGACAATATTTTCAAATTTTATTTTTCCTCAAAAACTAACACTAGGGATTTTTGTGATCTAAACGACGGAAGTAGTTTAAAAAAAAATATTTTTTTTCAAAATAATCCAAATGCGTTGCAAATTATTATGTATCAAGATGCATTTGAAATTTGCAACCCATTAGGTTCTTCAAGAGTCAAGCATAAAATTATAGGGGTTTACTTTGTCTTGGGAAATATTCCCCCATGGTATAGAACAAAGGTAGATCAAATTCAACTTTTGGCACTTATTTATGAAAAGGATATAAAAAAAATTGGTTTTGATATTGTGTTTGAAAGAATTATGAAAGATATTTTAATAATGGAAACTGAGGGAATAGAAATTAGAAAAGATATTAAAGTCAAAGGAACAGTTTTATATATAGTGGGTGATAACTTAGGAAGTCATCAACTAGGTGGATTTGTAGAAAGTTTCGCATCCTCTGGGTATTTTTGTAGGACTTGTTACATTAATAAATTAGATAATGACTCCATTTCATATAATCGAAAAACTGTCTTTAGAACAATAAAATCATATGAGAATGATGTTCACATGTGTTTAAAAAATAAAAATAAAAAGATAATTCACCACAAGGGTGTTAAAAAAAAATCAGTTTTTAACAATTTAAATTATTATCATGTTTGCAATCCAGGTCTCCCCCCTTGTTTGGCACATGATTTGTATGAAGGGGTGGTTTCCTATGATATAATGTTATTATTAAAAGCACTTGTAAATCAAAAAATTTTCACGTTTCAGGACTTAAACTTTCAATTAAATAACACCACTTTTATTAATGAAAAAAAAAATAATTTTGTAATTATAAAACGAGGTGAACGACTACTCGGCACAGCATCACAGAATATGCATTTATTACTAGTATTACCATTTGTTTTAAAGGAGTATCTTAATATTTTACAAGACAACATTTTGGAAAATGATTTTAAATTTAAGAAGTATTTGTAACATATTATTGGCATTTGAATTATCTGTGGAGCAACTTGGAATATTACGCAATTTAATATTTGAATATCTAGAAGACCGTAAGGAATTGTTTACGGAAGCTCTGAAACCAAAACACCATTTTCTGTCCCACTATCCCTATTTTGTAAAAACTTTTGGACCTATAAGGCATCTCTGGACTCTTAGGTTTGAAAGCAAACACCAGTATTTTAAAACAATTGTAAAACATTCAACAAACTATAAAAATGTTTTGTACTCTTTAGTAAATAAGCATCAACTACTGCAAACATTAATTTTAAATAGCGATTCCTTATATGATGAAAAAGTTATATGTGATGATGCTAATCAATTTAATAATGAATTTTCTCCTGAAATTTTAATAAAAAATAAATTAGATATTTCAGACATTCTTATCTCCACCAACGTTTGTTTTCGAGGAATAGAATATAAAACTAATTCTGTAATTTGTTTTAAAAAGAATGATTTTGGATATTACATTTTATGCCGAATTAAATATATTATAATAAATAAAAACCTAGAACCTAGTTTTTTTGGAACCGAAGAGACAATAGTAAAGTATCCAGAAACAGGATTGTTTTATAAAGTAAATAGTACTATCAAAGATGTTTTTGTATCTTTTAATGAGCTAATATGTTATGAACCTTTAATGCAAAGTACAAATGGACTCTGTTTTGATTTTAAATCTGCTCCTTATGACGAAACGTTTAAGTAAAAAAAGAGTATATAATATAGTTGCATTTGTGATACAGCTAAAACATAATCCCTGCAAATACGCATGGAGTATTTTCTTTTAACTATGGAGTATATCCAAACTACGTTTGAGGGCTTTTACGCTTTATAAACAATTGTTTGGCTTCGACGACTGTAGCTGAAAGAAAGTAAATATTAAAGACCCATAATGGTAGCCTTCAACCCTTGCAATATAATTTATTTTTATTTATTTTAAAAAATAGTATTTTATTTTAAAAATTAACCTTTAGGGTTGAAGTGGTTAACGGGTATAGAAACTCCACTTATTTTAGTTGCGAAGACAGCTTACATTAAAAGATCTTTTAAATTATCGACGATATTTTAACATATATTTATGTCACCTTCAGGTAGGCTTGCCAGATACTGTCAAAAAGAGGACATTTTGTTTGAATTTACCTTATTTACAAAGATACAATGCAAATTGACAACTTGTGTTTTGTGATTAAATTTTTGTTTTAACAGAATCTGGCAACTCTATAGAGTTGTATACCTTCCTGGCTCAGTTTTTCACGTTATTATCGTTAGTCATAAAAAGTAAAACGACAGCCATATAAACAGTCCTGAAGATGACTTAATATATGTTGAAACGTCGCGACGCGTAAGGCACCATTAAAAACTTTTAATTTATTACCCCTAACTAAAATAAGTTGGGTTTCAAAATACTAATCCCAATAAATTAACTTTTACATTTTAATAGGTATATTAAGAATTTTTTATATTCAATTTGTAACTATGACGTAGGTTGTATGTATAATTCCGAGTATAATTCTTATATTATACCATATTAAATAAGGGATTGTTATGGTAAAATAAATTACTTAGTTTATTTTTTATAAGTAGTTAAAAATATTATTTAGTAGGGAAATGTACTATGTATTCAAATAATTTTTTAAATCTTTTTGTTATTCAATTAATAAATAGTTAATGATATCACTTTTACTATAAAATTGTGTAAATGTATATAATTCTATAAATGTCAATATTTTAATTTTCTTCACTTTAATTGAATTATGTTGAATTTTGCCACAATGTTCATTTTTATCGGCTTTTACATTGTTAAAGAGACCATGGAAAAACAGGCATACAAAGTATGGAATGCATCAAGAACAAAGAAGATATGTGTTCTTTTAAATAAAGAAATGGATAATGTCTACGAAAATATTATTCTTGAAGGTAAGAAAACACAAATTATTGTTTATTTGTTTTTATTTTTTTATTAAATTCTGAACAGCTTTATATTATATATAATATTTACTTTGCCATTTTCATAAACTTAAAATTCGTACATTTATGGATATCATTATAAAATTATTTAATAATAAACAAATTGAGGAGATATTTATAAAATGTGAATATATTAATTTTCCAATTCTTCAGGAAACAAAAAAATCTTATTAATTCTTGCTTTGTTTCTCCGAAGGTGACCTTTAAACAGGATTATTGGTTAAAACAGATTATTGGTTAAAACACGCTGTATACATGTTTAAAATATTTATATTTGGTGTATGATGTTTTCCATTTTTGGCAGTAGTATTAAGGTTATTTTAAATAAATCAATTTACTATTAATAGTATATTAAAAGTTAAATTTTTTTAAACTTTTGGCCCGTGTAGTGTATACGATTTTTTTTCATAGCCGGTCGAAGGTACTTTATTAACTTTACTTTTTTATACCTCGGTCGAAAGTACGTACTTTCGTTCCTAATAGCAGGGAGTAAATGTTTAACTTTCGTCCCTGCTATTAGGGACGAAAGTACGTACTTTCGACCGAGGTATAAAAAAATATTTATATTTCTTTGCAGGGTCGCGAAAAATGATGCTGAACGGAAGTGCTTTATGCCTAGAAAAAGATGGTACCACTCTTGACTCGGATGATGTAATTAAATATTTCTGTAATGAGATATTCATGTTGCTTACCAACGAGGAATTTTGGGTTCCTGCACAGTCTAATATAGAGATATTATCAATTTCACAAGCAGATACCATAACCGATTGTTCAACACATACGTTATCTTTGTCATCAAGTATACTTGATGACAAAGAAAATACAAATGATGACCAAGAAAATACAAATGATGACCAAGAAAATACAAATGAAAAAGAAATAAAAAATGTAAATTATAATTTACTGTGGGAAAATTTCAAAATTCCGTGGCACCTATTGCCAAAGTCCGCTAAGACTGAGTTAGAAAATGAATCACGCAAGCGCTCCATTATTTCAAAAGTAGTAAATATTGTTGTTGAAGAAATGAGAGAAATAAAAAATCACATTCCGATCAGTGCTTTTAAATTAGTAGCCAAAAAAATAATTAATAAATATCCAAGAACTTTTCAGGACCAAGATGAGGATAATGAAGTATTTGGAGACGGAATTGGTACATTGGTATCCAAATTAGTGGATCATAATAACTACTTAAATCGCCCTCACAAAACTAAACAAAATAGTGGTAATAGTCTTAAAATAAAAAAACGTAAGGTTCTTATAGCCAGAGCTGGTTGTCCAGAATGGGAGGCTTCTGCAAGTACTTCAGTTGAACCTAGTAATGAGTTAGAAAATTATGAATTAGATAATTCTGAATTTACCGATGATTTTTTGACTAAATACTTGGAAGCACATTATTCAAAGCAAAGAGATTTTTTAAATAAATTAATTCCTCCTACTGTTCATCAAATTAAAGCAACTTGGCCTGTTTTTGAAAATGTCAAATATATTTCGCTACACTTTCATAAACTAACGAAAACAAATTTGGATAATTTTTTGACTAGCTTACAACAAAAATCAGAAAGACTTGTTAACTATGCAATACAACAAAAATATATTGAAAAAACGGAAGAAAACCTGTCTATTCAAGCACTAAAATTTTTTGGAAATTATTTCAAGGAGAATTTATCAGAAATTTTTTATACTTTTGAGGTGAGAAATTGTAATTTTATAATAGACATATTTAAAAAGATATTTAGTTTAAATTTAACTTTCTTTTAAAGATTATAATATATTTATATGAAATTGACATCATACATATGTATTATACTCGTATAAATTTCAATTCTACTTTAAAACATATCTTTAAAAATATCTTATATATTTTTTAGGAGAACACCTCAGAAATTGAAATAGCAAATAAAATAACCATTAACGAATGCTGTGTAGTGGAGCTAGGTAAGTTAATTATTTTGCATAGTAACAATATTTTACAATATATGTATAAATTTGATCATCGAATTAATTTTAAAATTCAATAATACAAGTATATTATTAAAATATTTATTTTATTTCTTACTACTATCTATAGTGTACTTACGTGAAACTGGACTATACTTTACAGGTAGCAAACGACATGCGCTAATCACGCAGATCTTGCTTCAAAATTTTTTTTTTTTGGTCAGCAGTCCCAGTATAGCAAATATTTATTTAAAAGTTTAATAAATATACAATAAAAAAATACTGGATAAAATTATGTTTTTTAAAATACTAATGATCATTATTTATTTCAGGGTCCATTCCATGGGTATTTTACCAAAAATATGCGTTTATAAAATGCGATACATTTTTACAAGCAGTAACAATTATGTTTGGTTTATATTTTATTTTAAACTTGAGATATCCACGAAAAACTCAGGTTTTTATGGAATTTTTACAAAGATATCTTTTAAAAATCCATCCAGACAGCGGTTCAAAATCTAATGACCTGGCCGTAAAAAAAGTGCGAAGATTTGTAAATAAATTAAAAGACATTCCTTAGGTTAAGTTTTTTTGCTCTAATTAAAAGATTCTATTTATTATTATATTATATCTTCAGGTAAGGTTGCCAGATTCTCTAAAAAAAATGTATTATTGTTGATTGCGTCATTTTTGTGATTAAGTTAAGTTCAAACAACATGTACGCTTTTTAACAGAATCTGGCAACCCTACCTTTATCACTCAGTTTTGCACGACGTTGTCAAAACGTCGGCCATAATTAAAAATATGAAATAAATAATTTATTTTATTTAAGTTTGAGTTAGTTTTTATTAAAATGTTTAGTTTATTTATGTACATATATGTTTAAAAAACATTGTTTATGTTTTTAATAAAAAGGAGCATTTTTATATTTATAAGTGGCTTTTAATTCTCCCACAATTTATATAAAGATATATATATATATATATATATATATATATATATACTAGATTGTATAATATACAAACTAAATGCACTTTTACATTTTATACAATTCGAAATGTATTGTTACATTCTGAATTTTGTGTAAAATGTAAAAGTGCATTTAAATGTAAATCTTTGTACATTTCAAATGTAAAATTAAATTAAAAAAGTAATATAATCTTACATTTAAAAAGGAAAAACACATTTAGAATTTAAATTTATATTAAACATGTAATAATAAATTCAAATGTAATATTTTGGTTAACAACATGGCAACAAAATAACCAATATTGCTTACCGGAAATTTACATGATTTTTTTTTTCAGTGTATGTGTTATAATAAAGAGAATAAAGAGCCTGAATAGTATATTCTGCAACAAGTTTGGAATATGCAATTACAACCGTGTTTCAGACCATACTTTTTCTACGTTTCCAAAAAATACCATAGAAAAATAATTCAATTGGAAGAAAGTGAGGTTGGATCGGTCTAAACTTGTTAGATATTAAAACAGAGATGTCGCCACCAGTCATCCGACGCACATACTTCCAGGAAGTATGGAAGTATGTGATCCGACGATAGAATAATTCGTTTTGTAATACTTTCAGGAATATATGTCATTTCACATTAAAAAGTGATAATATTAGAACGGTGATATTCCGTAATAGAAGTAAAAAAATAAACTTGTTCAGGTAAAATAAGCTTTCACAGGTTCCCTTTTTAAAATAAATCTATTTATTTTAACCAGTATGTATATGATAAACCAGTTTCTAAATAAAAAAATGTATGCACACAAATGCGATCTTTCATTTATAATAAAATTACGCCTTTTTTGGTTCAGCTTTGGTCACATTTTAACGTTTTGATTACGCCAAAAAACCAAAAAATTTCAGATAGGATTGTGACTGGGGACTTTTTTCCTCCAAATCAAAGTAAATTAAATTATTTAGTATGTTTAATTTTAACTTTAATTTAAGTTAACCCAACATTTATAGTCGGCAGTAAAATGGAATAGAATGATATATGCCATTACAAAAACATATCATCTTTAACAATTAATATCCAATTTAAAAATATATTAATAATGTTTTAAAAAATTGTGAAAAAACTTCATAAGGAAGCAAAAACTGCTTAATTTTACTGCTCTTAAAATGAATTTGTCAAAAAGGACTAATTGTCAGCCACTAATTTTTCTCGTCAACAGCAATTTGTATCCCGGACATTTAGCAATCAATTCCTGTGTAAAATTGCCCGCTGAATTCAAAAAGTCATACAAGTCACAAGTCATATGGTCAATTGTCCTTATAATATGGAAAACTGCTTTACTTTCATAATTTTTCTTATTTTGACGTTATTTAAAATAATGTACAAAAGTACAAAATTATTAAATGCTTGAAAAAAAAGTATGGTCACGCCACTGTTTTTTTATTATTTTAAACTGTATTGTGTTTTGAAGATAAAAATTAAATTTGTTTATCCGCGAGCGAATACACCAATTTTATTTTTTTCTTGAAAATTAAAAAGATAAATAAAAAATGCAGAAGGGAAAAAAGGTGCTTTTTAATTAACTAATCTAAAAATAATATTAATCTTAAAAAAATTTGAACTGTACCCAAATTTTATTTTTAAATTTCTACATATTTGGTATGCCCCAGAGCGAGGGGTAAACCACTGATTTTTTTAAATTAAAAATCGCTTACGAATTAACGGCTAAGGATAACAATAACAAGGGTAGTCATGCGAAACGCGTCGCTAAGAACTGATTAAGAAAGTTTTTCTTATTGATAACGACTGATAAGGAAAAAAATCACAACACAACGTCCACTAACATTAAACGTTGGTCTCTAAGATTTTAAAGTGGTTTACCCCTCGCCCCAGAGCTGCCTCTGGATTAACTAAATTAAATTTAATTACATTAAATTAAGCCCCTCTAAAACATTACTAAAAAAGTGAACCGTTTTATTAAAATTAAAATAAAGAATAATCTTACCACCATATCATCATATAACATTTTTAACATTTAATATATAAGTATTTATTGTATATAAAGAATTTAACGCCCCTTGTGCACACGGGCAAAGTAAACGTTAAAAATTAGATATTTTTATTTTATTCACTTCCTACAAATTTATATACAATGTATTAGGATATCAATAAAGAAACTTCCTATTGGATGTTCTCAATTTTGATATTTATTTCATTTTTTTTAAATTGCATAACATTACGCATACACTGTATGCCATACAGATAAATAATTTACTTAAATTAACGACTGGCGCATTCTCATAAGTTGTTAATTATTGGGTACCTAATATAGTTTTTTATTATTTACTTATAACATTTATGTTATGATTTAACTTAATTAATTTAAAATTTAACTAAAATAATTTTATTGTTTACTCGTTTGATTATTTTTTTGTGTAGTAATAATTAAATAATATAATAACATTTGGATTATTACTATATTATATTATATTATTATTATTATATATATATAATATATTATATTACTATTATTACTTCACAAAAAAAATTTAAACAAGTCTGTAAAAATTTAAATTATTTTGTTTAAATTTTAAATAAATTACGTTACAATATTGTATCTTAGGGGTCGTCCATAAAGTACTTCAGGCGTTTAGGGGTTGGATGGGGTGCTTTATTAATGTTATTGTGTGTACTTTATGGACGATCCCTTGTCTAAAGAAAGATTGGTTAAGTTAAAAAGTGCAAAACAAACCCTGAATTGAATTTTGACCTGATATTAAAGTTTTTTTATTAGGAACTTCGGTAAAAATATATTTATGAATTAAAAAGCCTCCTAGGCTGTTTAAATAATATGGTAACGTTTTGTACCTCCTAGTCTGCAAAAAACCGTTTGGACCAATAAAAGTCGACTACCGTCAGATCTAATCTAACCTTACTTTCCGCTTTTAATAATTATTATAATTGTACGTTTTATGTATTGTTTAGCAAGTCCAATTATGCCTTCAAGATCATTTTGTATGCCATTTGGAGGCCTTCTCATTGGCATTCAAACTTTGAGTTCAGCAAAAAAGACTCACTTCTCTTTTGATATAAATAACTATTAAACATGTAAGAATAAATTTATAAATTATGATATTTTTTGATAATAAAATTGTATTAAGAAAATGTAGAAAGAAATTATTTTTGTAATTACTTTTAATTAATGACTCAAACCGGTAAAAAGCAGTAAAATCTGTCAAATCATTTTAAATAAAATATTAAGAAAGAATTTGTGCCCAATCCCTCAGCATTAACATTAACACATTTAAGGGCGTAAAAACGGCGTTTTTTATATCGCATTTTACTTTTAGTTGAATTAGAGTAGGCAGTGTTAAATTATTATAAATACATTTTTTATAAATTAAACAAAAGAAAATTTAATTTTTTTGTAATACTTATCGAATTAAACATCTATCATTAAATCACCAAATATCTTCTAAAACGTTTAAAAATGTAAATAAAATATGTTTATTTAGGTACCTACATAATAGGATTTGGAAATGTTTTTAAAGAAGTTAAAAGTATAAAGGAATATCTGAACATATGATTTTATATATATTTTTAAAATTATTTTATAATTAATTTTAAATTAATTAAACATGGGAATTTTATTTAAATAAGGTATAAAAAGGTGTAATTTATTTGTGTTTATATTTAACATTTAACATTTTAAAACTGTTGAAAATCAATTTTGGAAAATATTTTTTTAATTACCTACGCAATAATTTTAATAATTTGCTATCTATTAGATTTTATTTAACAATAAAAACTGCTGTAAAATATGGGTACAAAAATTGTCAACACACCTTAAAAAGATTTAATTAAAAAATGCATAATCACCCAGCACAAAAACAAGAACACCTATCACAGACGCGAAAAGAAGAGCGCAAAAAGCTCCGGTTTTCACTGAAATGCTTTCAGCGGAGTTAAAATATTGGAGTAGGCAGTGGAGAAAAGCGCGTGGCAAATTGTTCCGGCTGAATGTCGGCGCGAGTCCACCGCAAAACGGCAGCGGGACTACTAAAGCAAACTCGCGGGTACGTTACCGAAGGAGGTCCTCCTCGCGACCAGATGCGCCAGCATGTCTTTCGCACGCAGGCGTTTTTAATTTTGCCTTGCAAAAAATGCCAAAATGCACACAAAAAATTAACGAATTCGTTATTTTAACAGGGACTAATCCCTATCAAAAGGCATTTCACTTTTAGTGAAGAAATATACATGGTAAATAAATCACACATACATCATACATGGTAAACAAATCAAGGGGCCTTAGGCCACGCCCAGGCAAGTTTGGTCGTATTCATAAACGTAAATTCTCAAAAAAATATCCGCATAAAAAATGGTTCAGGTGAAGCAATAGAACACCTTTTGAAAAATATGTACACATATATTTTATAAAAAAATCTAACCAAGAACAGCGCTGTCATTGAATGCATTAAAATTGAAGCATTCTTAATTGTTATTTGCTCAATTAATTACTATTAAATCAAAATAGGGAAACATTTTGCCTAAATGTCAAAGAATTTATTGCGTTAAATGTATAAACAGTATACATGCTATAGTAACGTTATTAAATAAATCAAATTAGTATTTGAGGAGGAGCATTCCAAAATTCGGCTTATCCATATTAGTTGTTTTCGAGCAAAATGTCAAAAACCTTACACGTGAAACGCATATCAGGCAAACACAATACTTTAAACGAAATATAAAGGCATAAGTAAACATTTATATACCTTGATAAAAAAGGTATAGCTGCAGTTTAAAATAATTTAAAATTACATACGTATATGCCGAGTTCTGCATGATATACCTAACCAATAGATAAGGCCAGTGGCGTAACAAATTCTGAGTGCCCCCCCCCGCAAACGATTTTAATGGGCCCTCTTTACAATAAGAAAAAAGTTTATTTAATAGGTAATTTTTAAAATAGTTTATCATAGTACTTTTAAACCTACATTATATACATACTATTTTATAAATTAAAAATTTTGACAGGTAGGTATAGAGTGTAAACGATAGACAGACATACGATAAGCAAATAAAAAAGGATTAGGTGAGAAAAATTGCTGTATCTGCAATTTTTGGTAGTAAAACATAAAATATTTAATTAATTTTGGTTTAAAAATATCTTATTCTATATACCTTTTTATATGCAGGATCATTTTCGTAATTCTATAATATCTTATTAAGATTCTTTTAAATATATATATATATATATATATATTAATAATAATTACCTAAACATTTTCTGTTCTTATTACCAAATATATTAAAAATATTATACTATTATATCAGCAATAATAACAATTTAAAAATAATAATAATTTAAAAAATGTATACATATCTTACCAAGTTTAAACATTATTACAATTAAAAATATATTGTAGATAGTCTTAAAGAAGTTAAATTAAAAAAAAAATTAAAAACATAAACATTTACTACAAAAAATGGTCTGATCTTCTAGAGTTTTTTTTGCAAATTCAGTCATAATATTGTCAATGTTTAATGTCTTAATAAACTCATGTTCAATACTAATAATTGATAAATTACAAAGACGTTGTTTTCCCATAGTGTTAACAAGGATATGTTTTCACTATTTTTAGTTTCGAAAAAGAACGCCTTGGGCCCCCTGACCGTCTGGGCCCCCCCGCGGTGCGGGGTCTGCGGGGGGTGCTTATTACGCCACTGGATAAGGCAAGTTTTGGAACGATAGTCAATTTGTAAATGAATTTTAAATGGAATAAGATTAGTTTTAAAATATTATGAACTTTTCAGGATATAGGGGGATACATGTGTAATGTACAGACACCACTAACTCATTTTTATTAAAAAGTGGATAAGCCGGCACCCATTCATGCTATGCTAGCGTTTTTTCTGTGTACTTTTATATCCTTCCAATACACACCAAAATCGAAAATAATATCCAAAGTGCTTTCTGAGATATTAAAAAATACCACTTTAAAAATTACTCTTTCAAAAACCTGTAGCAAAAATGTAAGCCCTTTAGGACACATGACACTAGGACAAAAAATGCTTTTCTTGGCGTGTCCTACGACCCACATAATTTTTTACTATTTATTCACCCCTGTAAAACCTTTATTTATTGTGCGATTCCAACCGGATTTGTTTTAAAGTGTAGATTTTGATAAACTGTATTTTTGAAGCATAAAACACCATATTTTTACAAAACACAAGGTTTACTTTGTCAGTTTTTGAGAGTAAACAAAAGCTCAAAAGATAGATAATAAAAAACTCTATGTAAGCTAAAAAAATATTTTAAATGTCACTTGACATATGCCTACTATAACATTTTTTCTATGTCAAAATTCGAAAAAAAAATATTATGGTCGTTTTAAGTACGTCACTGAATGCGGCATGCTTTAAAATGGGTCCAAACCAAATTTCATTAAAAACGAACAATTAATAACTATTTTAGACAAGTTTTTTTTTAAATATAAAAACTAAAAAAACAATATAAAACACATTTATAAATATAGGAGGTTTAGGAGAAAATAAGTACGCCACTGAACGCGGCATACCCGAATGGGTACAAACCTAATTTCATCAAAAATTAACTAATAACTATTTCTAACAAGTTTATAAACATAAATTGATACAAAACAAAAAACTAAGATAGCCATAATGAAAATGTATGTTTATAAATATTATATAACATGGTAAAATGAATTTGTTTAAAATAGTTATTAATAGTTATTTTTTGATGAAATTATATTATATTATATTTACAATAAGCGGCTGTTAATGTTAAAGAAAAAAAAAGAATTTTCTTTGGTGTTAAACAAAATTTATTGCCAGAAAAGTCTCGTAAGTACCTACTAGAAAACCCAATATGCAAAATATTATTTTACTAGTATGCTGTTTAGAGTAGCCAACATATAAAATCAAAATTTTGGGTGGGGTAAAGAAAATCATTACAGCACCGAAAGCGATGTTACAATGACGTCATTATGAAGGCAAAACAGATAAAACAAAAATTTTCTTATTCAATTCGATTAGTTTTTAGAGTTTTTTTGTGTTGTTAATTAAGTTCTTGCTTTAAAATATTTTCGTGCATGTTTATTTCATATTTAAATATAATTAATATTTTAATATTTTTACATTATTTTTCTTTCTATTTTAGTCTATAATAGTTATTTATGTATTAAGGGCATAATAGGGTTTTTATGGTCCGAGGCGCTATTTCGAGCCCGAGCGCGTTAGCGCGAGGGCTAGAAAAGCGTCGTAGGACCATAAAAACCAGTTATGCCAGCAATGCATACAAAACTTTATGCACGATTAATATATTATTATTTTTAATATATTATTGTTTTTAAAGACGTTTACGTCAAAGAATTTTTGTTATAATTGTCATATTATAATGTCAACTGACATCAATCAGTTTTAAAGTTTAAAGATGAATGAAATTGAGGAAGCAGCTGAAAAGGCGAAAAATTGCGGCCTGCTGCCGGAAAAATCAAAAACTTTATACGAAAAAACTTACTTCGAATATATCAAATGGTGTAACATTGTTATTTTTAATTTTTGACGTTTCATTATAGCCCGCTGGGTCATAATAACGCCCGCGGGCTATAAAAAGACGTTTACGTCAATGAATTTTTGTTATAACTGTCATATTATAATGTCATCGTGCATAAATTATTTTTATATATTTAGCTTGTCAATGTTTATTTAAAAGATCACTTAGTGTCATAGAAACATGTACGAGCAGTGTCTATAAAACGGGCATAATTTAAAGTTTAAATTTTAACACTGCACTTATAAAATACCAATATAAAAGCTTAATCAATTTGATAATGTGTACCATTCCATCCATTTAAGTAAGTATACATATTTCCAGATAATTACAAAATTATACTTTATTTTCATTATTTAAACATGTAATAGCATTGTCGGCACTAGGCAGTGCAGAAATAAGTGTAATTCTATATATTCCACATCGTAAATTATCCAGACTGAGAAACGTTTTTTGCTTTACCAACAGTTTATACGTAGAACATTGCCAACTTGTTGGTTAAAGCATTCTTTTACACGCGACTAATTAATAAGCGTCATTTTATATAAACGTATATTCCCTCAACCTTTATTTATACATTTAATAGATCTTTTTTAAAAGATATTTACCTAGGTACTTTTTATTACATAAGTATTTAGCTTTTTTTAAGAAAAACTTATTTTTTATGTTATTTACTTTCTACCCTAGTCCGCTATGTTCGAGACGTATTCAATGAATACTATGCATAGATAATGTTATGTTCAAAAAACATTTCTTTGGCTATGTTGGTTTGACATAACGGCGTTTAAACTTAATCCACAACAAATATTGAATCTTTGCAAAGGAGCATTATGCATATATGCCAATGATTTATTGATATTAGGTTTGTATCGATAGCGCCAGAATATATCGATATATATTTTTCGATACATTACAAAATTTATCAATATATTTTTAAATATACTACTATTATTATTTTACTGTATTTTTTGTCTTGTTTACCTTTATTAAAAAAAGTTTAGTAATAAATAGCCGGCCAAAAAAGCTAATTTAATTAGCTAGCTAACTGATCAGCTTAGCTAATTTAACCGGTTAACTAAATTAGCTTAGCTAATTAGTTGGCGGCTTAACCGGTAAATTTAGTTTAGCTCAGCTAATTAGCTAACGGCTAACCAGCTAAACGGCTAATTTTTAAAGCTATATAATGATTTCTTATTTACGGACAGGTTAAAAAAATAATAATATTGATGATACTTGTATTAAAAATGTAATAATAATTTAATAGGATTTATTAAAATGTCCTAATACCTATACAAAAATCTACTTAAGATTTTTTGTCTATTAAAAATATTAATTATATTGAAAAACTACTAGTTCTACTACACTGTTTAAAATATCTGCGGTGTAAAGAGTAATCTTAAAATGGTGTCAAAATCCAACACCAAGTGGTGTTAATATAACACCATGATTTATGGTTGAAAATGTTATATAC